TGAATGTACCACAAGGTGGCACTTCCTTTATTTATATATTCTCTGTATTAGCATACAGTGACTGTAAGGCTGATTGACACTAATGCTTGCTGAAAAGTTTCCTATAACTTTCTTGCCAAACTTCTATTTATTTTGCCCCATTAACATATATTTTACATTGAAACCTAGTAAAACATGTACAAGATACTGTATGTGTTTTCATTTAATCAATATGAAAGCTTTTAACACTCGATCTGCATGAGAGGCAAATTCTGCATTTCTCTTATGTTTATTTAATCTAACAGCTTACTTGGTTTTATAAACACAAATATATATTATTTTTTAACATAAACAAACAGTAGGCAAAGATAAAAGTCACAAATGACTACAGCTCTTTAATCATGAATACATATTAAATGTATGTATGTTGCATGCAAGCATTGTAAGCAGGGGCGGACTGACAACTCATGGGGCCCCCGGGCAATAGGGGATCATAGGGCCCCTGTGTCATTGCCCAAACTCAAAAAAAGCCTATGAAAAAGTTACCAGGGGCATCTCATGGGGCCCCCTACTGACCCAGGGCCCTCGGGCAGTGCCCGAGTTTAGAAATGGTCAGTCTGCCCCTGATTGTAAGTAGCTAGATTTGACCTGGAAACAGCCACTCGCAGTCCCTGTTTAGCATGGCTTGAGAGTGAGAGGCTATGGCAACACAAGGAACCAAGTTATTCTTGTGCTGACAAGAAACATACTGATAGGAAATGAAAGAAGAGTGAATGATGAAGCCACGTGACCTGGTGGCGTAACACGTAGGGGAGGGGCTCTGACGTCACGACGCTTAAAGGAGAATTACACGGCGAGTATAGGCAGTGTGGAGATCACACAGAGGATATCAAAACTAAAAACAAAGTGATTATTAATGTTCCGAAATGTGAGTGCATTAATGTCTGAACCATAAATAAATATTTTAAAGAAGATAAGACACTATATTTGATTCTTTTGGTTGCATGTTACCAACACATGGAGTAATAAGGAGAGGAACTGTAGGAAGTGGAAAGACCCCCTGGAGGAGAGAGGGAGAAATCCATCCATCCATCTTTATCCAGCATTACAGTGCTTTGGAGGACGGAAAGACTCCCAGTGGAAAAAGCACATCACTACACTCATCTATCCATCCATCCATCTGGGATACAGATACAGTTTGAAAAACACCCACTAGTCCAAATAAAGGACACAAGCTGGTTTGACCTCACTTAACGGTTTGGTCAAAAAATTAAGGTGAGCACATAGAGGAGAAGGAGCACTTTTTTGCAATATTGTCACAAAGTGGACTTTTGTGTATATATTTTTATAATTTTATAAATTTTTACATTTATTTTGATTTAAAAAGTATTATTCAATTTATTTGATTATATTTTATCTGATTAGTATAATAATTTTTGTTATCAGAGTATTTCACACGGCACACCTTGAGATTTATGGAAATTTTTCCTTATCACTATTTTTTTTCAATTGGAATATCAATATATTATTGATATATTTGATCACATAAATATGATTGGGATTGTCAGTGGAGCGTGACACAATTTTATATTACTCAAAAAGTACTTGCTCTGATTTGCAGTAGAGAACATCCTGATGTGAATACTGCTTATTTTGATTCCAAGGTCTGCTCTAAATGCAAAAACAATTCATACTCTTTTTTTCAGTTTATTTTAAGTAGATTAAAGTCCTGAGGATTTCCTTCTATGAATAATACTTTATTAAAAAAAATGTAAAAAGAAAGGCAAACACTGCAGTTGTGCTAAAATTAAATCAGTCCTAAAAATGTCTAGCTCAGTGCAGATTTTGGACAGTAAGTACCTAAGGTGTAGGGATGAGCAAACAGGGCAAAGTTCGGTTCGTAGGAAGTTCAGCACACCCAGGCAAACATTTTCTGAACCCAAACATAGCATTAAATCACGCTGAAGTTTATAGAAGCAGAAACTGGTTATTTTTTCTGAGCATTTTAACTGCTTCTCATCCAAACTATAGCAGAATGAAGGAGCTCTGCCATCCTGGGTGTAAATTTTTTGAAGTTCTCCCTAGGGGGCCACACTGCAGCATGATCTGTCACTCGCTGTGTCCACCAGGCACAGTGTATGACAGATCATTGTACTGGGTTGGAACAAAACAGAAAAAAAAGTTTTAAAAAATTTAAAAAATTATTTTAAAAAATGTCAATACTGTCACCAGTCAGAATCCCTGATCACCGCAACACCAGCCATATGATAACACTGTACTGCTCTGGTGACAGTATGTAAAAAAAAAAAAACTTTAAAAAAAGACTAATTTTATTTAATACTTAATTTTTTTTTTTAAATTGTGACAACAAAATTACAATTTCAAAAACACACCATGCCTTTTACTATATACATTGGACTGTCTACTTTCCAAAAAGGGGTCATTTGGGGTATTTGTACTGTTCTTGCATTTTAGGGCCTCAAGAAATGAGAGGCCATCAATCATCAGGGATGATCAATTTTAAATATATATTTTAAAATATATATACTGTATATGCCATAGTTTGTAGACTCTATAACTTTCACACAAACAATATATTATACATTGATTTGAGTTATTTTTACTAAAGAAATGTAGCCATAAATACAGAAAATAGAAAATTGTGGGGTTTTTTCAACATTTTTTTTCCTTACATAAGCAAAAAATGAAAAAAAAAAAACCTGTGATTAAATGGAACCAAAAGAAGGCTCTATCTGTCTCAAAAAAAATGTAAAACTGTATCTGGGTACAGTGTTGCATGCCTGAGTAATTGTTGAGTGCAAAATCTGATGCAGTTGTGCATGGTAGCCAATCAGCTTCTAACTTCAGCATGTTCAAATACGCTTTGACAAAAAATCTGGAAGCTGATTGGTTTCTATGCGCAGCTTCACCAGATTTTGCACGCTCCAGTTTTAGTAAATCAGCCGCATTGTCATTCAAAGTGTGACAGCACTGAAAACTGAAAAATATGGGCAGGAAGAGGTAAAAGTGTCTAGTATTGAGGTGGTTAAAGGCTAGTTTTCAAGCTTTTGTTTAAAAAATGGCATGGGTAGCTGTGCATTGCCATAGGGTCATCAGTGCAAAAAAATTAAAAAAAAATACCTTTATTTTAGTGGGTATTTTAATGCAGCTTAAAGAGCAACATTAAAATGCATACAGTACATCTTTTAAATAAAACGCTTTGGAGATGCCTTAAACCTTCATGTGACATTCATTTTAAAGGTTTTTTTTTGTGTGGTTTTTTTTACAAGCATCAGCCTGGGATCTGTCATTCAGCAATGGCACTACCACCACTAAATGACAGATGCCAGCTGTCATGTGTTTGACAACAAGCCAGGGGATCTTCATTTGGCATCAGTTACACCCAGATATTAAAACCCTCTCATGAGATCTTTGAGGACACTGTTGTCCTCAGCATCACCAAAGACACAACGCAGACTGTGGTTCCTCTGCTGCTGGAAATTTATGGTAAATTAGCCTATTTATACTGCAGTTCCTGGGCAAGGGACTATGTCCCTGACAGTGGCAATCACCTGCTATAAAGCTATCCCATGCTTCTTTGAGCCTTGTACCTCTGTCACCACATTCAGGGATGCTTGGACCACAGCTGCAAGAGAAGCCCTCTCGTCAACTCGGCCTCCAACCAAGATACGTGACACTTATTCCCACCTTTCTAGATATTGGCAGGATCCCTTTTCATGGCCAAGGTGCCTCATATCCATCAGACAGTGAAAAGTGGAGCAGCAGTGGGGATAGTTGCCTCAAGTAGGGCTTTAAAGTCCTTCTTCTAATGCATTGGCCAGGCCTGGCTGCTGGCAGAAGTCACACACAGCACTTAAATCATATGATCTTTGATTATAACGGGTCAGGGGTCTATGTGGACACCCTTAGAACAGTTGACCCTCTGGTCTGGTGTCCAGAATGGACTACTCGCCAGAGCTTGCCTAGCATGCAATCAAGCTTCTCTGTGGCTAGTGTCCTCTAGGAGAGGGCATTTAATGCAGTAAGACATTTTGTGACAGAAAAAAGAATTCAGCCTGTCCCCAGCTATAAAAATGAACTAGACCTGGATACACAATGAGTACTAAATCACTACAGCTGATTGTACATTTATCTTCTTTGAATCTGGCTTCAGAAACATTATTATATCTTACATCATTATCATCGCTTGACACTGCTGCCTTGCCCCCGTTATCATCTCCTACCACTGATGTTGGCCTGTCACTATTACCAGATCTCAGCACGATACATCATTACCAGCTTTTTCTACCATTGCTAGCCCGACTACCATAACCATCTTCTGCCACTGTTGCTGGCCTGCAAGCAATGTTATCCCACGCTGTCTCTTCAGTCCTATTCCTGTGTTCTGCCACTGTCAAGGGACCACAAATAATGTTTCTGCATCTGTTTCTCTTGCAAAATTTGGGTACATTTTCAGCTGGATCAATCATACATTGTTCCTCAAAATTTGTTGTGTATTCTGGTGCTCCAGCACTGTCAAGGTGCCACACATCTTGTCCACAGCTTCCTCATCTCATAGTTTTCAACCTATTCCAGTGCTCTCTCTAAAATAATGTACTCTATTTGTAATTTGTTCATTACAATCTGCCTAGTCTCTCCCATTAAACTGTGACCTAGTAAAAGTGATTGCATACAGCGCATAGTTGTAGTCAGTAAAATATTCTGCTGACTTGTTTGGTGAAATAATACACTTTAATGATAATGTTTTGATTAAAAGCCGTCTGTGTATCTCTTGTTTTAAATGCCTCAAATAGTTTTTTAATTAATGTGCATGAAGTCAGTGTAATATTTAGCTGACTTTTTTTCTCTGAAATAAATACACTCTAAAGTTGACTTTTCAATTAGGACTATTGTCCTTCCTGCTCAAAATGCAGCCTACAAATATAGCTTAAGTACTGTCTATAGAATTATTGTATTTTTCGCTCCATAAGATGCACCTGACCATACGACGCACCTAAGTTTTAGAGGAGGAAAACAAGAAAAAAAATATGCTTAACCAATGGACTGCAGACATAGTACAGGAAATGACCAGAGACTGCGGACATAGTACAGAAGATTACCAGAGACTGCGGACATACTACAGGAGATGACCAGAGACTGCAGACATAATACAGGAGATGACCAGGGACTGCAGACATAGTACAGGAGATGACCAGAGACTGTGGACATACTACAGGAGATGACCAGAGACTGCAGACCTTTGGGGAAAGGAGGGGGAGCGGGTACCCGCATTTGACAGGTACCCGCTCCCACTTCCGCAGAGTTGTCTTCCTTCCCCATCTTGTGGGACACATGACAGGTCCCAGAAGATCATTCACAAAGTGCAGCACTTCTCGCACATGCGCACTGGGCACCCGGCTGTAAAGCCACAGGCTGTCACAGTCGGGTGCCCGCACTAAAGATGCCAGGGAGAGAAGACGGTGAGGACACCACTGGACCGAAGAACAGGTAGGACCGAGGAGCAGGTTCTGCTGCACAGAAGAGCCGAGTGGCCGGCCCGCAATTCTAACACGGGGACAGCAGGAATACCAGGCCGGCAGCTCCATATTCGCTCCATAAGATGCACAGACATTTTCCCCCATTTTTTGGGGGGAAAAAGTGCGTCTTATGGAACAAAAAATATGGTACTGAAATATTTATTTTTTTATGTTAAATATATACACGTAATGTGGAAATGCTTTCTCTGCAGTATGTGCAATGTTTCTTCATTTTAAAAGGTGAAAAATACACACTTTATTTTGTTTTTGTCTTCAGGATGAATATAAGGCTTCCCAGATTATTTTTCACAGTGATACCTATGCAGTGTGTACCATATTCCTTCCCTTTTCAAATTGGTGAAATGTGAATTTGAACAAACCCATATCCAGTTCATGGGAAATGTAATTTTTCCTAAAGGAATGAATTTGGATCCTGATAACAAGGCAGTAGTGGATTGTCCTACCCCTAGAAACATTAAGGAAATACAATGATTTTTTGGATTTGCAAACTTTTACAGAACAAAACCTTAGGTTATAGCACCAATTACAGAGCTGACATAGAAAGGGATTTTGTGTGGTCACCTGAGGCACAGGCTGCCTTTAATAAGCTGAAAACTCTCTTCACTACTGCACCAATATTGGTACATCCTGATCCTGAACTGCCATTTATCTTGGAAGTGGATGCTTCAGATTCTGTTGTGGAAGCTATCCTTTCAGCCGAAAGGAATTACAACAATGGGAATAAAGAGTTGCTGGCAATTAAAGAAGCATTTTCTGAATGGAGGCATCTGCTGGAAGGGGCTAACCATTCTGTATCTGTTCCCTCTTTTCGTAAAATTTAGAATTAATTTGTTCTGCCAAGAGAATATCTTTTAGACAAGCATGATGCACTCTATTCTTTTCCAGGTTCAATTTTATTATTTTGCATTGACCTGGGTCAAGGAATAGTAAAGTTAATGCCTTATTGTGGGTGTTTTTCTGTGCCTCTCCAGGGAAGCAACTCTGAGTGTATGATCCTGCCTCAAAACAGCTTCCTAGGAGCCACAAGTTCCAAGACATTTTTTTTATCCTTTTAAAGAGTATAATAATGTCCCACTTCTCAACCATCCTCCTAAGGACATTAACCTCAGTTATAAGAACAGCTTTTGGATTCAAATGCATCACCTTTATGTACCTGCTCAGCTAGAAGGCCTCAGGTTAGTTCATGACTATACACTTGCAGGCCATTTTGGGGTTTCTAAAACTGAAGAACTTTTATCATGTTCCTTTTGGTGGCTGGGTTACAAGAAAAATGTCATAAATGTGGTTCTATTTGGTCTTGTGCCTGACTTTTACACATAAGAAAACACTGTTGTATTCTCTTTTGTGGGTGAGCTGGCCACTCCCTGTTCCATCAAGACTAAGTGGTCAATTTCTATGCATTTTGTGGTCAATCTACCTTCCTCTAAAGAAATAACAACTATATTTCTATCGATCATATCACTAAGATGGCTCATTTTATACCAGTTAAGGGGGTACCCTCTGCTGAACAAACTGCCTTCTGTGCAAAACTCTAGAAAAAAGAGCCCCCACCCAAAAAAAAATTCCCACAAGACATTTATCCAAGCGTGTAGCCTGGCAGGACAGGAAAGGGTGGGAGAGTTTGCTCCCCCCCCCCACTTCTGAACCATACTAGGCAATGTACTCTCAATATGGAGGGAAACCTTAGCAGGGGGAAGTTTTCCTGGCAAAGCACTTTGTCCCGATGTTAATGAGGACAAGGACCTCTTCCACACCACAATGGTGCACCCAAATACTGCCAAGTCCTCTATTAAAAAAAAATATGTGCATCCATCATCAATCATGTGATCCATCAATGTAGATTCATGACCAATACCTGCTGACCTGCTGAAAAAAAAGTTGACGCTCGCCGACACACTTCTGAACCCGACAACTGCTTGTCTATGACTGTCAGTCCCAGTGGATGACAGCTGACATATACAAATGGGTGGGGTCTCCTAGGTGACATCATTGCCCATGTATGGACATGACCATATTTAATCTACGATATCACAGGGGTGATCAGCCTCACTGCACCCCAGCCCGGGTAGCACTGCAAGGAATGACAGCTCTGAACATGGAAAGTGATGTAATGCATGTTACTTCCATGTTCATGTTAGCTGAGCTCCTTCCACTCTGACACCCACCAAGTGACACCCACCATGTCTGTCCCAGTTACAGCCAGTAGTGTATGTATATACCCACACTGCTGCCAACATAGATTTTCTGTCAGCGATGGCTAAAGAGTTAAAAGCATAGCTCACTTCTTAATGTTTCACCCATACTTGAGTGTAACACGAATCATGGTTGCACACACCAGCTCCTTAAACCCAAACTGCCCAGTCAGGTCATTCATTAAGGGGTAACAGTAAATGACAATACTACAAATCTAATTTGCCAACAAGGCAGAGGGACTTGGCAGTGTGTGCCAGCAAAAGGGCAGTGATGTCACCAAAATTTTAGTACATTCAGCACTTTAGTCCATTCAGCCCTCTAACAGAAGGTCCATAACACCGTTTGGACCTGGGGTTGGGTAAACAATGCATGAAGTTATACATTGTACCCATGATGCACTGATTGTGGTTGCAATGCTATGCCGGTCTATGTAAAATGCTCATGTTGTATTTTATCACTGTCGTTTATTCATTAAATTTTTTTCAAAAAGATGGACTATACCTTTAAACAAAGAACATGTCCTTTAGCTAGGATTATTATTGTGGCCTTTACTAGGCAATTAAAGTTTTCACATACATATTTTCAGTTCCCAGCTGTGTGTAAATTCCTGATTTACCAGTTTGGTATTAGTCGCACATTCCCTGCCACCTTATCAGTGGACACTGAATGCATGTGATCAAGTCTGAGCATCTGGCTCTTCACAGTTCCTGACATTAGCCCAGACAACAGAATCAGTGGACTATTGAATGCAATTACAGTAAGCAAGACAGACAATAAAGATTGATCATTCCTTCTCTCCTTTTATCACACACAGAAACTAGTGGGGGTTAAAGCTTGCCTTGAGCTGCCTCTGTTTAACAATGATTGAAAATATGCATTTGTGTTGGTAAAACACTTGAGCTTGTAGCACTTCATTTACTGGACACATTATCAAATTAAATGAAAAGTGAACTGCCAAAAGCAACAGTTATTACACATTAATGATGAATATTTATTTAGCTTTGCTCACATTTCAAAGTGAAAACAGATTTCTTCTAGTAATCTACCTTTTTAATGCTACACATGAACAACTTACACATTTCCCCATTTATATCTTTTAAGAAATCCCTCTGCACAAAATATAACATCGATGTTCTAAATTCCTTTCATCAGAAACCATTGATTTATTAATTTATGCATAGTACATACTTCTACAATATGTTACACATCATGTTACAGGAAATTGTTTCCCCATTCCCCTTTACTCCTGTCCATAAATTAAATCTTTCCATTATCTAAGCATGTGATACCTTCATAATCTGTTCTAGGAGCTTTTCTTCAAAGACACTCTTTTTGCTCCCAAAATAGGCAGCTCAAGCTAATGCCACTGTTGTTCATATGGAAATGTTGACTCTATGTCAAAAGTCAGTAGCTAAGGCATCATCTCCTGTTCTAAGCACCCCCCTGGCTGGTGACATATGCCTACTGCTAAGCAAAAATCAGCGAGCAGTGATTGTCACAGGAGGAGCAGAGGTGTTGTTGATGCACAGGTTACAGTTGACAGCCTGGCTTTATTTTCGCTATGTTGTGTGCAATGAAAGGTAACAATGTCAATAGGGAAATAGTAAGAGGGTCTTACAGGGCTCAAACAAAGTAATTTCTATTTTCCTGCAGAGGTATTAAGTATTACCTTTCCTTCTGTAATTGGAACTAGGTATTACACAGTATGTTAGCTGCTGCATTGAAAACATGCTTATTTTATATACATATACATCATTTATGATAGTGATCCGTTGGCTTCTCCATGGAACTATTCCACTATCTCTGCTCCTTTGACCTTCTTCCAGTCATGAGTAGTTCCTTCCATGTGATCTTCTTACTTGAAATCATCTTGCTGTGTGGTCTGCTCACTGAGCACTTTTGTTATGTACTTTTGTTTCCAGTGGTGGATCTTCCTGTCCTCCATTGTGTTCACTTGTTGCTCTTACATATGTTCCTTCTGTCCTCTGCATCCGGCTTTTCACCTGTTCCTCATCCAAGCTTGCTCCCTCTTTTGCTGTCCTGTCTGGCTTTCCCTGCACTCCAGAAGAGGATAGAACAATAATGGAAACTATGTATGGAAAGTAATTAGTTTCTTGTTCAATATGTTTTTATTAAAAATGTTCAGTGCAAGAAAGTGGAGAATCCTAACAAGGCACATCCAGAAACAGTTGTACATAGTAAATAATATATCAGTCTGTGCAATTTTTATATTTGTTACAATTTTAAATATTGTACAGATTCCAATGAGCTGTAAAACAATACATAAAGATGCAATATTGAGAATCAGGTGGGGGTTCAAAATTAGGCCTGATACAGGTTGATATAGCATCTGATATATTGTAATTACTACACTTTAGTATTATTACTTCTCTAGAATTATTTGGTTATAAATTTAGAAAAAAAAATGTAAAAGGTGAGGGAGGGGAAGGGGGAGATAGTGCGACAGGGAAAGGGGGAAATTATTATTATTATACAGGATTTATATAGCACCAACAGTTTGTGCAGCGCCATACAAAACTAAGGTAGACATTACAGTTACAATACAATTTGGTACAAGAGGAAACAGGGGGCCCTGCTCGTAAGAGCTTACAATCCAGGAGGAGGGGTAGAGTGATACAAAAGGTAATAGATGTGGGAGATGAACTGATGGACCAAATAACTGGCGGTTTGC